TGAAATGTGCTATTATCTAATTTAGTACTTGTAACTCAGAAAACCAAACTTGCTCCCGCTCGATTCCAACTCAGAGTGACCCTATAGAAGAGGTAGAACTGACCCTGTGGGTTTCCGAGACTAATTCTTTTTTTGTTTGTTTGTTTTCTTTTTCTTAATCACTTTTTGGCGCAGTTCGTACAACTCTTATCACAATCCGAAACTAATTCTTCACAGGAGTGAAAGCCTCATCTCCTTCCGAGAAGCAGCTGGTGGTTTCGAACTGCTGACCTTTTGGTTAACAGCCCAACATGTAACCACTCATCCTGAAAGCACCGCAGTGGTGACTTAATAATCAGAACATGTAATATATGAAGAATGAATCAAGGGAAATTAGAAGTCAGTGAGCATTTGGATTGGACAATCCCATGGTCTGCTGTGCTGGAAGTGACTAATTGAAGAGAAATGGTGTGGCTTTCATTGACAGAAAGAACGTCTCAAGATCTGTCCTGGAGTGCAGGCCATCGGTGATAGAATGAGTCCACGTGCCGACAAGGAAGATGACTTACAGTGACTATTTTTCAGATTTATGCCCAAACCCATTTCAATGCTGAAATGAAGAAATGGAAGGTTTTCATGAATTTCTTCAATCTGAAATTGACCAGACACATAGTCAGGATGCACTGGTGCTTATTGGTGATCAGAGTATGGAAGTTGGAAATGAAGGATCAGTCGTTGGGAAATATGGCCTTGCTTATACAGATTGGCACCATACAACGAACACCTGATAGAATTAGACAAGACCAAAGGAGTCGTTAGTTGCAAATACCTTTCTGATTGCTCATGAGCATTTTCAAGTTGAAGCTGAAGAAAACACAAGTTCGCCAGAACAGGAAAATCTCGAATGTATATCCCATCTGAGTTTAGGTCAAGTCATTCAGGTTTAAATATTAGGTAGAAAAGTCACTCTTTCTGCCAAGTTTTCGGCATTGACCATTTCCCAGATGTGTACTCTCAGCCGTTGCTCATTGGATTTTTTGGTTGCCTTTTTTCCTATGCCAGGAATTCTCATTACACATTTAATAATCCTGTTAGCATTGACTGGAGACTGTCGAGCGACGTGAAACAGAGAGGCGAGGGGAAACGGGAGGGAACACAGCGGGGCCAGTGATGTCCACCCATCCTCAGAAACGTGAAGACTTCTCTGTGCACCAGGAGCTCTTCCCCGTCCTGCTTGGTCCCCCCAGCCACCCCCCTCTGGCAGAGGACCACTCAGAGCCTGTCCCAACCCCCGTAACGTCTGCAGATAGAGGAGGGATGGGGCTGCCCAGTAGCGTTTCCTAGGCAAGGTCAGCAGTTCAAACCCACCAGCTGCTCAGCGAAAGAAAGATGAGGCTGTCCGCTCCCCTAATGAAGGACAATCTCAAAAACCCTAGGATAGGGTGGGGTGATCTGTGCATTACACGGCTGCTGCTTTTGCCGGTGGGGTGGCTGTGGGCTCAGTGTGCTGAGTTTGGGGCCTGCAGACAAGGGCATAGCCACTGCACCATCCAGGTTCTTACTTGGCCCTTATACCAGCTCCGCCCTGCTCCCAAGGAAAACCCCCTGCCGGCCAGTGTCCAGTCAATCCTGACCCATAGTGACCTGGTAGGGCAGTGGTTCTCAACCTTCCTAATGCCAGAACCCTTGAATACAGTTCCTCATGTTGTGGTGACCCCAAACCATAAAATTATTTTTGTTGCTACTACATAGCTGTCATTTTGCTACTGTTATGCATCATCATGTAAATATCTGATATGCGGGATATATTTTCAGTGTTACAAATTGAACATAATGAAAGCATAGTGATTCATCACAAAAACTACGTAATTATATATTGTGAAATACTGATTTCTAATGACAAATAAATGAAATTTTTTTCTTGAAACATGGTGTAGCATGGGTAGCAGTCTTCACGCTGGGCATGCATAGGTGGGCGTATGTGCATGTGGGCGGACCCACCTGGAGATGATAGAGGAGCGGTGTCTCAGTTCCTAAGGCCATCAGAAATGTGTGTTTTCCGATGGTCTGGGGCAACCTCTGTGAAAAGTCAAAGGGGTTGAGAAGCACTGCTGTAGGATTTCTGAGGCGATAAACCTTTATGGGAGCAGACAGGCTCCTCTAACTCACCTTTGGATTAGCAGCCCATTGCCTGACCCCCTGAGCTACCAGGGCTCTCCCTTTACATATGGCCGGGACTGATGAATAAAGAGCCTTGGAGAAGTAGTGAATCAAGTGTTGGACAATTAACCACAAGGTCCAAAGTCTGAATCCACCAACCTCTCTGCTTCTGTCAAGAGTTACACGGAAACCCACAGGGGCAGGTCCTACCCTGCCCTGTCTGGTCGCAGTGGCGGGCAGTTTGGGGTTTAGGGATGAATCTGAACTGGTGAGCCCCTGGGCGGGGAGCAGATGGGAGCCAGTGAGCTGGGCTCAGCTTGTGGTCAGGCCGGCTCCGGGGGCGCATTCCTCGGTGGGCGCCAGAGCTCCCAAGGGACCCTGATAATATGCGGGATGCTGAGAATTCTTCCCAGACATGATCTCATCACCGAACCCCGTGGTGCAGCAGGGAGGAGGGGTTCGCAGGACCGCCTCCTCCCGCAGCAGGTGAGGCTCGGGAGACCCAGGCCCCTTCCATCGGCTGCTCGACCAGATTGTCAACACGTGCCCTTTCCGCACATCCAAGTGCTGCTTTCAGAGCAGCTCTGTGCTTGTCACCGCTTTCCAATCTGTCCCTTAAGCTGTTGCTTCCTGTTCTCCCAAGGCAGGCTTGTTCTCACACACAGCTCCCACCCCCACAGCCCTGCCCAAGCCCTAGTCTCTCTCCCCTGGTCCCTCCCCTCCCTACCAGTTTGCAGGGTCCCACCCCTGTCACAAAGCCTGGGGCCCAGCTGGGAGCCAGGCACCACCCACTGCCCTCCTATGGAGTCAGGTCCACCTCACAATGACCACCCTGTAGAACCTGCCCCCTGGGGTTTCCGAGACAGTAAATCTTTTTTTTTTTAAAGATCATTTTATTGGGAGCTCATACAACTCATCACAATCCATCCAGCCATCCATTGTGTCAAGCACATTTGTACATTTGTTGCCATCATTTTCAAAACATTTTCTTTCTACTTGAGCCCTTGGTATCAGCTTCTCGTTTTCCCCTTACCTCCTCCACCTCCCTCACTCATGAACCCTTGATAATTTATAAATTATTACTATTTTTTCATGCCTTACACTGACCGATGTCTCCCTTCACCCACTTTTCTGTTGTCCATCCTCCTGGGAGGGGGTTCTATGTAGATCATGGGGATCAGTTCCCCCTTTCTCTCCCCCACCTTCCCCTTCCCCTCCTGGTATCACTACTCTCAATATTGGTCCTGAGGGGTTTATCTGTCCTGGACTCCCTGTGTTTCCAGCTCTTATCTGTACCCATGTACATGCTCTGGTCTAGCCAGATTTGTAAGGTAGAATTGGGGTCACAATAGTTGGGGGAGGGAGGGGAGGAAGCATGAAAGAACTAGAGGAAAGTTGTATGTTTCATCGGCGCTATACTGCACCCTGCCTGGCTCGTCAAGACTAAATCTGTATGGGAGCAAACCACCTCCTCTTTGTCCTGTGAAGCGGTGGTGCGTTTGGACTGACCAGTGCCTAGCCCACTGAGCACTCCCCTGGGGCAAAAAGGACAGCCAGCCTTTTTGAGTTCCAGCGCAGGTTTTCTCTGGGAGGTTTTATTCCTCAGGATGCGTCTCCCTCCTCAGGATGTGTCTCATGTCCGCTTTTTCCCACTGCCCCACTGGGGGAACTCTGGTGGCACAGCGGAGACATGCCAGGCTGCCAGCCACAACACAAGGTCAGCAGTTGGGAACAGCCGGCCCCTCCAAAGTAGAAAGATGCGGCTTTCTATTCCGATGAAGAATTCATTCTGCGAAACCCACAGGGACAATTCAACCCTATCCTGTAGATTGCTATGAGTTGGAATCCACCCCCTCGCACTGAGTTTTGGAGAGTTTTTAACTGGCATCTGGCCATCCAACCCTGACCTCCAAACCATTCTGGCTCACGGCGACCCCAGGTAGGGCTCCCGGGGCTGTAAATCTTGATGGGAATACGCAGCCATTCTCCTTCCATCCCTTGGCCCCGTCTTTACTTTCGTTCCCACTGACTGGTTCCTAAGGAGCCCTGGTGGTGTAGTGGTTCCATGTTGGGCTGCGAACCACAAGGTCAGCAGTTGGAAGCCACCGGCTGCGCTGCAGGAGAAGATGTGTTCAACCAGGTCCTACAGGGTTGTTATGAGTTGGAATTGACAGATGGCTGTGAGTTGGTTTTGGCTGGCTTCACGGATAGTCATTTCCCTCTGCCCACCCTCTTCCTTTGGCTGCCCTCTGCTGAATTACTTCCAGAGGTCACACAGGCTGCCCCGCTCAGTCTCACAGTCCCACCTCCTGCTGCTGCCGTCAGCATGCTGAGCACTTATGGCGTAGTGGTTACATGTTGGACTGCAAACCACGAGGTCAGCAGTTCAAAGCCACCAGCTGCTCTGCAGGAAAAAGATGAGGCTTCCTAGTACTGTAAAGAGTTAAAACAATACTCACCACTATGGAGTCGATTCCAGCTCACAGCAACCTATAGGACAGAGTAGAACAGTCCCTGAGAGTTTCCAAGACTTTTAACTCTCTACGGCTGGTGGTTTCAAACTGCTAACCTTGCAGTTAGCAGCCCAATAGGTAATTACTGTCTCGAAAACCCACAGGGGCCATTCTACCCTGTCCTGTAGGGTCACTGTGAGTCGGCATCGACTTGCCAGCAGCAAGTTGTGAATTTCACCCGCTGGCCATGTGTTAATGAACTTGGAGATTTCTCTGCAGCCTGTTGCATGTAGCTCAAGATGGGCAGGGCCCCAGCCAGCGTGGAGAGGTTACTGTCACAGCCAAGTCTGGCAGTGCCCCTGGGTTTTCTCTGAGGGCGGTTTTACCGTGCCTGGGCTTCTTCCGCAGGAGATGGCAGTCCGCGCACTCAAGCAGACGGGCAGCCGGAGCATCGAGGCCGCGCTGGAGTACATCAGTAAGATGGGCTACCTGGACCCCAGGAACGAGCAGATCGTGCGCATCATCAAGCAAACCTCGCCAGGTGAGCTCCATGGGCCAGCGTGACCAACCAGAGCGGTGGGTCAGTGGAAAGTGTGTTGGCACAATCCCCCCAGGAAAGGTTCTTGAGCCCGAGCCACACCCTGGACTGGCAGGAGAGACCCAGGGTCAGGGAGGGGACTTAGCAGGGTGCTTATCCCTTTCCATCCGAAATAGCCAGTGGTACGTAGCACCTGTGTGGGATTCGCTGGGTTTTTGGTATTCCAACAAAGTGAGGAAACTAAAAAGTTGTGTGTGGGGGGTTTGTTGGGGTTTTGTTGTTGTTTTTTAATTTTCTCTTTGAAAAGACAAACTGCCTTCATAGATGCCACACACCAGAGTAACTCACGAAATACTACTAGCGTTCCGTACACACTTGGTTTTACTCCAAACAAAATGTGTCTAAACATGTCACTGCCATCATTGGATGGTGCAGACAGGTTTTCTTAATAATACAATCGTCTTAATCTCATTAGATGCCTTAAAAATTTTTTTTCCACAGAAACAGTGGCATCTGAGTGGGGGTCTGCTGGGCCCTTAAGTTCAAGGCAGAGAGAGATCAGCCCCAAAGGTTGTGGCAACTGTTTGGGGGGTTCCCAAGGGGTCACTTGCTAGGTTTTCCTTGTAGGACACAGGGCAATCACGCGGGCTTCTTAGGACGCTTTAAGACAACGGAGGGCTACATTGGTGCAAAAGGCCGGAGGTTTATGTTGAGGGAGATGTTTTCCACCCCGACTGCATTCTTTGAAGGCAGCAAGGGTACCCTACGAGGATTTTGTGAGAGGACTCTACCCCGCCCACCTTACACCGCTGCTCTTGCCCCTTCAGACTCCCCTTTGCTTCCCAAACACAGAAAGCATTGGGAAGGAACGGGACTTGAGCTGTCGGAGCATGTAAGTGGAAGAACACAACATTCACCAGGGCAGTTGTTAGAGAGACCTGCGGAAACGCCACCTGCGGCAGTGTGTAGTTCTGCTTGGAGGCTCCGTGGAGAGACCCTGGCTCCCCGTCTTGATAGTTTGGTTTCCTAAGAGTGACTTGCCCTCGACCCCTTGACTCAATGGCCTGTAAATCAGGGTCGCTGCCCCCCACTCCAGCCCACCCTCCCCCACGGAGGGGTGTGTAAATACACTCATCCCTCCAAGAGGGATCCCTGTCTTGGGGCTGCTAACCAGTGTCCCTCCTCCAGTGGCGTGGGGCGGGGCCGGTATTTAGGTACCGAGGTCATTTCTACAGGGGCAGTTCTACCCGGTCCTTGGAGTCCCTTGGGGTCATTAGGAGTTGCCTTTGGGTTTTGTTGGTGGTGTTTAGCAGACAGCCCCCAGGTGGTGGTGGGAGGGCCTGGAGACAGAGTTCACCTGGCGCCAGGTAGCTGCAGACCCCACCTGGCAGAGCTTGCCTGCTACATTGCCCTTCTTTCTGTTTTCTTACCCCAGGAACAGGAAGTGTGTGTTCAGCTGTGATTCCTGGGGGTAGGGGAGGCATTTCTAGTCGGGGGCATAGCAGAGAGAGAGATGTGACACCCTCCCCACCCCCCTTCCAGTATAGGCTCCCCACCCACCCCTGTCTGGCCTCAGCATCTCCCTAATGGTCCTCTCCCCTCCTCCCCGCAGGGAAGGGCCTGGCGCCGCCCAGCGTGGCCCGAAGGCCCAGTTTCGAAGGAACGGGCGACTCCTTTGCGTCCTACCATCCAATGAGTGGGGTGGCCTACGAGGGACCAGGCTTCGGGGCCGAGGTGCCGGCCATGTTAACAGAAATGCCGCCCCAGTACATGGATTACGTTTTCTCCGGACAGAGGTCTGCAGGGCCTGGTGCCCACGGCCTGCCCAGCGTCCACCAGCACCCACCCAAAGGCTACTGTGCCAGCCTGGAGGCCCCAGGGCTGAGTTTCCCCGTCGTGGGCCAGGGGGTGCCAGCCCTGCAGCTCCCAGGCCCCCACAGCCCCACCGGCCCGCACTATGGGCGCCCCCACCTGCTGGTACAGGGGGAGCCGCTGGTGTACGGCCTGCAGCGCAGTCCCTCCTTCCAGAACAAGGGCCCTCCCGAGGCAGCAGGGTACCCCAGCCACCCTGCCAAGGGCCAGGCCACCGCCCAGCCCAGCGCCGGTCTCGCCTTCCCCCCCTCGGGCATGGTGGCCGGGCTGTACCTGCCCTACCCACACCACAAGCAGGCCAACCCCGCTGCCCACCAGATGCACGCCCTGAGCTCCCGGGGCCAGGGGTTTGCTGGCGACAGCCCGCCCCAGAGTCTGCATGCCCCCTCGAGGAACAGCCTGAACATGGACCTGTTCGAGGTCAACCTGTGCCTGCCGTCCTCCTCCCTGTCTCGCCGAGACTCCCTCCAGAAGGCTGGCCTGGACGCAGCCCCCCGCCAGCACGTGGCCTTCCGGCCTGACGGCTCCATCCCCGGCAGAACCAGCTCCTTCCACAGCCACCAGCCGTCGGCGGCAGGGCCCCTCAGGACGGGCGCCCCCAGCAAAGCCGAGCCAGCCCTGCCCACCCCCAACACGGTCACGGCCGTCACAGCTGCCCACATCCTGCATCCCGTCAAAAGTGTGAGGGTGCTCAGGCCCGAGCCCCAGACGGCTGTGGGGCCCTCCCACCCGGCCTGGCTGCCGGCGCCCAGCCCAGTCTCCGAGGGCCTGGAGCCCAAAGATGAGCCCCCGCTGGGCCTGGGGGGCCCGAGCACATACCCTCTGGAGGTGGAGCTACGCTGCCCACCCCCGCCGTACCCGAAGCACCTGCTGCTGCAGGGCAAGGCCGAGCCCTCGGCCGTGGACGGGCTCTGTGTGGGCCTGGAGCAGGGCCTCCGCGCCAGCCAGGCCGCCGAGCCCGTCAACAGAAGTGACAAGGGCCCCAAGGCAGCCAAAGCTGAGAAACTGGGCAAGGACAAAAAGCAGATCCAGACCTCCCCGGTCCCCGTGCGGAAAAACAGCCGCGACGAAGAGAAGAGGGAGTCTCGCATCAAAAGCTACTCGCCCTACGCCTTCAAGTTCTTCATGGAGCAGCACGTGGAGAACGTCATCAAGACCTACCAGCAGAAGGTGAGCCGCAGGCTGCAGCTGGAGCAGGAGATGGCCAAGGTGAGCGCTGCTTCCCTGCCGGCCACTCAGCCTATGGCCTCCCCACCAGGCCACAGGGCCAGCCACCAGGAGCCCTTTGTTGTGTCTCCATGATGTGGCCCTACAAGGTTGGAGTGGCCTCCCCACCAGGCCACAGGGCCAGCCACCAGGAGCCCTTTGTTGTGTCTCCACGATGTGGCCCTACAAGGTTGGAGGTTCAAACCCGCCAGCTGCTCTGGGGGAGAACAAGGAGGCTGTCTGCTCCCGCAGTAAAGATTCACAGTCCCAGAAACTCTCTGGGGTGGGGGTGGGGGGTCACCAGGAGTCAGAAAATCAGCAGGCTTGGTTTTTCTTGGCTACATGTATCTGTACCACAAACCTACCACCCAGGGCAACGGTGTGATTCTGATGGGGACTTGGGGATGTTACAAAGGTGCCTAGTTTTCCCCTGTACCCTGGCTCCCCCAGGAGCGCCAACGGGTGACCCCCCCTCCCCTTGTGGTGGTCTTTTGCTTGGCCAGTGAGTCAACAAATTGATCTTTAGGGTGTATCTTAGACTGGGCTGTCTAAAGCAGGGATTTTAAAACTGAGTCACTGGCCCCATATGGGAGGTGCTGTAGCTGAAGGGATGGGGAGGGGTGGTGGTGTGTGTGCGCGAAAATTGGGGTTTCTGAACACACAACAACCCCCAAGTCATGCATCAGAAGTTTTCTTTGCAAATTTCCCGGGCAAAAAGTGTTCACGAGCGGAAAGCGTGCTGCGCTAGAGATGCAAACGAGTGAAGCAAACATAGATAGAGATAGCTAGGTGGGGGGATTCATATCAAGGAAACGGCTCCTGCATCAGGCTGCAGGCTGAAGACCTTTGCTGGCTCACCAGGCTGCAGGAGCTGACAAATCCAAAACCTACAGGTTAGGTGGTAGGCCACGGAGCCTTGGCAACCTATGCCACACACATAGAGAGATTCAGGTTACTTTATTCATCTCGTCTTTCTGTTTTCTTTTGTGTTTGAGCTGAAAAGTCACCCTGGCAAAGAGCCAGTTTTCATTGGCCTTGGGTTCCAGAGGGATGTCCACACATGGAACCAAACAGCAGAACCAGTCCTCTTGCATGTCATCCTAGGGTCCCACTGGCCTGTGACCACATCTGTATGTTAATCTGGGGTCTCCTAGGTGGCATCTTAAGAGCCCTGGTGGCGTAGTGGTTATGTGTTGAGCTGCGATCCGAAAGGCCCGCAGTTCAAAACCACCAGCCACTCTGAGGGAGAAAGATCGGGCTCTGTGCTCCTGTGAACGGTCAGTCTCACGCATTCACTCACCGGGGGCAGTGCTGCCTTGTCCTTCCTGTAGGGTCACTGAGAGTCGGCGTTGGCTCAATGGTAGTGAGTTCGGTTTGGATTTGGGAGCTGCCATCTGAGGAAGCCCGGTGGGGTACACACTGGGTTGCCAACCTCAAGGCCAGCCGTTCAAAAGATGAGGCTTGCTGCTCTCATAGAGAGTGGCAGTCTCAGAAACCCACAGGGGCAGCTCTAGCCTGTCCGGTAAGGTCGCTCTGAGCCGGCGTGGAGTCCGGTTTGAGTTGGCATCTGTCGTGGGCTGCTCCAACGTGACCCCTCCTCCTCGTTCTTCCCCCACGTAGGCCGGCCTCTGCGAAGCCGAGCAGGAGCAGATGCGAAAGATCCTCTACCAGAAGGAGTCCAACTACAACCGGCTGAAGAGGGCCAAGATGGACAAGTCCATGTTCGTGAAAATCAAAACCCTGGGCATTGGCGCCTTCGGGGAGGTGTGCCTCACCTGCAAGGTGGACACCCACGCACTGTACGCCATGAAGACCCTGAGGAAGAAGGACGTCCTGAACCGGAACCAGGTGGCCCACGTCAAGGCGGAGAGGGACATCCTGGCCGAGGCGGACAACGAGTGGGTGGTGAAGCTCTACTACTCCTTCCAGGACAAGGAGAGCCTGTACTTCGTGATGGACTACATCCCGGGGGGGGACATGATGAGCCTGCTGATCCGGATGGAGGTCTTCCCCGAGCCGCTGGCCCGCTTCTACATCGCGGAGCTGACGCTGGCCATCGAGAGTGTGCACAGGATGGGCTTCATCCACCGCGACATCAAGCCGGACAACATCCTCATCGACCTGGACGGCCACATCAAGCTGACGGACTTTGGTCTCTGCACGGGCTTCCGCTGGACCCACAACTCCAAATACTACCAGAAAGGTACTGCTCCTCACAGAGCCCCCCGCGCGCGCTCTCTCTCTCTCTCTCTCTCTTTGGGAGGGAGCTGCCAAAACTTCCCTGACCTGGCCATACCCAAGTGAGCATTTGGAACGTTCCTGTCATTCCGTCGTCTTTTAATATTGTTTCCCTAAAGAAGTAGTGTGATATGTGTGAAATGTTACTTAATGCTCTGTGACATTAAGTCCCCTTGTAACATTCTTAGGGTGCCCTAGTGACGTAGTGGCTCCACGCTGGGCCGCTACCC